ATTTTTATAAATATATAAAAAGGAACTGTTATTTTGTTTGCATATATTATTTTGGGTGTCGTGAAGACATGAATCTATAGTGCTGGCTTATATTGAGATCGTAGTATGATTTTATTTAAAGAAAGAGCCCCCCCTTTTTTTAAAATATATATATATATATAACATCATTGCTATAAAGGGTTTTTTGGAAGTTTTTTGGTGGAGAAAGAGTTGGGATTGAAATAACAAAAGTGGGATATGTGTGTAGCTTGGGGGTTATATGGGTTGGTCGGTATATATCCTAAAAAGATGTTTCCGTATAGTTGTAGTTATAAACTCATACGTTGGTGCATGAATCTCAAAGGGATATTGGATTTGGCTTTTCTTTGAGCGTTAGTGGATATAGATTAATTGTGGGTTTTGGATTTGTTGATATCCGATGTAGGAATTCGGTTGAGGGCTACTTTTGGGCTACATTATTTTTTGTTTTGCAKSGGTATATGTGCGTGCCCAATCAGTCATGCTTCGTYATCGTACAATGTTCATAGCTTGGCCCATCTTGTTAAGTGTTGCGGGTGTATAGGGTGACCATTTCTGTTCGTGCGGATTTTCAAGGAACTTAGAGCTTTATATTGTTATTGTTTCTAGTATATATATGTACATGTTGTTGATGGATTTGCGAGCACTTCACTGTTCCTATTTCACGTGAGGTGGTATGTATCGTGATTGCGTGGTGTCCGTGGATTTGTGCAATTATTCGTGATGCTAGCTCTGCCTGTTTAGCGGGAGAGAGAGTTGTTGCAAGAGGGAGAGGGGGAGAGAGAGAGGTGTGGAGAGGGGGAGAGAGAGAGAGGTGTGGAGCGGGCGAGAGCTGGAGGGAGATAGGGTGATTCCGAAAGTGGAGAAGCAGAGGGCGCGTGGTAAGGAGGGCGGGAAATCCGGAATGTGTAAGTGGCTATGGTTTTGCCGAGCGAGCAGGGGGGCTGTAGAAGAGATCTTTGCCAAAACAAGTCGGTATCGTACTTTCGATCTTAGCATTTCTAACATCGGGGATAGGGTAGATTGTGGTGATCTGGTGTGGAGTATGGTGCTAGGTGTGAGCAGTCGTGTATCAACGAGGACATCTGATTTTCGTGGTGGTATCTTATCGAGACGAGCAAACGTGAGGAGGGGCGGACATATGCTGGTGTAGTCATCGGGGTTCTCATGTAAAGGTGGTGTGTGTGTGTGTGTGGAATTAGAGCAGGAGACATTATTCGGGGTGGTGACGTAAAGGACAGGGAGTAAGAGAGAGAGAGGGAGAGCAAGAGAAAGAGAGAGTGTGAGGGACAGAGCGAGGGGGAGAGAGAGTGTGTCGATGTTACATGGAAAAAAACAAAAGAATGGTAAGGCGGGTGTGTGAGACTTCGTAGGTCTCGTGTAATGGAGCTATATAACTCAGAGAGTGGGTGCGGGCGAGAGAGTGCGCACGAAAGAGGGAGATGCGGGAGAAAAAGAAGAGGGGGAGAGTGCGAGATATAATTCGCGGATTAGCCTATTGGAGGGTGGGGAGGGGGGTGTTATTTTATCATAATTTCAGGATATTAGTGTGGTTGCTTTGATTATGGATATTTCGATTGCATGTGTGGGTGATATTCATGGAAAGGCCATCGTAGTGCATGAACTTCGCCATCGTYGTGGAGATGGTTATGGTCTCGATTTTAAGTTTAGYCGCCGTGTTACTAGTGAGTCYGCTCKTCATTACCGGGTGATGGCGGATCGGCAGAAGGTTTTAAAATTGTGCGAGGGATTAGGGTATGCRGACGGGTTATTGTGTGAGGTCACGGTATACGTGACGAAAACTTCTGAGGATATTCCGGATGAGGTGCCAAGCGGCGGCGTGGACGTATTGGCAGAGATGGTCAATCTTGTGACGAGTGATCTTCTTAAGGAACATGCAGACAGCCAGATCGATTTCGTCGAGTGGGAAGTGATACTAACCTTACCTTTACGTGGTCGTCATTATATGCGTGGGGTGCTGCGAATCGGGGAAGGTTACGATAGGTGAGGGAGGTGGGTTTTAGTGGCGATGATCCACGTTTGTGATTGGTATATCGGATGGAAGGCGAGTGCGGCGAGACCACAGGGCAAAAATACTTGTATTCGTAGAGTGCTCGGAACAGCTACTGGTCAGGCGCTAAGCATGGTGTGTCTCTATGAAAGTACTTGTACGGACAAGTCGTAGGTTTAGTACATTTCTTCCCGCAGTATAGTCATGGTGAGGTATCTCAAGCTCGAAGGAGCGTCATGGGAGGTGTACTGTTTCCAGCTCTCTTTGTGTTTTCACTAGTGCGTAAAATTCTTTGGTTTGGCTAAGTCATCTTCGCCCTATGGAAACGGTTCGATATCTAGTAAGGATTGGTGGAGTTTTGCGTTTTGTTTATCGAAATTGTTGGGTAAAGAGTGGGTTTCTGTATCCGTAAGTTTGTTCGTGGATGTTATATAAGAGGGAGTGGGGTATTGGTAGGTGTGTTGGCTTTTACGGGTGTTCGCATTCCAAGAGGCACAGTGGTGTGTTCGCATTCCGAGAGGCGCAGTGGTGTGCCCTTATCCGAAGATAACGTCGATGTCTGAGGAGCCCAGCARCAGGGAGGGTACTTTYTTGTGCGACCGTTAGAGTTTGAATGCAAGTGTGGTGTGCATTATGAGYAGTGCGAGTTCCGACATCATCTTTTAGGGGGGAGAGAGAAAGTGAAGGAAACTTACCATTGTGCTTCTTCTAGGAACATTTTCRGACGTTAGTAGAGAGCAAGGTGTGTAAGGGAYGGAGTTCTTAGTAGTGTATCACGGCGTYGTGGGTAGTGATACGATCCTGATTCTAGAGCGAGCACATCTTCGAGATGCTCCCATTAACATGGAGCCATGRGGATCATCATCGGAGGGTCGTAGTATGACACAGTCGTATGATGTTARTGTGAATWGGCAGATGATTCTTCRTGTGGGAGTTYGCTTTTCTTACCTTCAGGGGTCTTTAGTCTCTCTTCGTTTCTATTTGCGTCGCTATGRTGAGGTGATCCCTGTTGGGCTTCCKGAGGGTGGCAGAGATCTATTATTGTGCATCCTCAAGGCTTTGGTGACCACAATTGCGGCTGAACATCAGGGTTGCATTKTTCCAACGRCAGGTTGGGGTGTGGMCGYTGRCGATCCTCTAGCGCRACCGGAGTTGTGGGGGGAGATTAAAKAGTATGAGGGCTTTCAGTAAGCAAGCCTGGATGGCTTCTTGTGTGTGTTTCTACAAAGTTTTACGTCAAATTGAAARTTCAGGACATAGGCATTCTAGCGAGTGYTTTAATCATGATGYGGKTTTCATAGATGTATGCATYTGAGAGCTTGCKTATGTGAGCAMATTACGAGTGTTAGCTTGTAAGTGTTATCTTGGGTGATCAAACAAGGTGATAGATGATACTTTRTACGTGTGCTTGTKCGTCTTYTGTGGGGTAGGTAAGTTTGACGATCAGTGAGAAGTGTGTCCGTACTTAYTGTCACTCATAGCGATCTGTTAAAAAARAWGCRCACACCGGTTGATGTTGCCTGCTAATGATACAGYAAATAAGTGTCTAGGGGAAGGAAGCGAGTAAGCGCTGWTCTTCGATCAACATTTTAGCGGACATGTTATGATGATATGGTTTGGTCTAAGGTTGATGATGAACCATATGTTTAAAAAAGGTTTTTGAAGKGATCATAAAATTYTCAACAGCAGGTGACCCGGATTCGTACCTCCTTTCTTAARGAGTGCAGCTCATCCTTATATCCTTAGGTCGATTGAAAGAAGATTACGACAGATAGTGTATGTGTGTAGTGCCTGTGTGCGCAGGATGAGGCCCTCGAAGAAGCGCGAACTTTTGCTATTAGGATTCTGAAGAATTTACTGCATAACTTGCGATAACAAGTATGTGGATAAAGCCAGCTCTAGAAAAATTTAATCTATCAGAAGATCTTTTATTAGGAGGAGGCCTAGGGTGCATATGCGTGGTTACCATTAACTTTTCGTTCTATATTTTATCTACTCACATATTTCCTCAGATGGTTCCTTCATCGGGTAAAAAAAAAAAAAAAAAGGGGGGGGGAAAGAAAAAAGTCATAATATCTGATTTGAGGACCTAATCTAGTACAAATGCTTAATATGAGTGGTTCACTCTGAGGGTGTTTAGTCAGCGTAAGTATCTGGTGTGTCCTGAAGCGCATGTGTTTAGTACCGGTGCAGTTTTGGATGTGAATGGTGTATGGATGATTATGTATGTGAAGATCCTTAAGCTGATGACTTTGTGGTTTTACGGATGACTTATAACGTATATTTTTTTTGGGGGGGGGGTTCGATAGTAGGCCAGGTTACAAACTTGGAAGAACAGTACTGAGTTCGATAAGATCGTTCAATTAAGTGAGGGGGACACTCTCTTATTCTTCTGAAGAAAACTGAGAAGAGTTACACTTCTGTTCGTATGCTGATGGCATCGGAGATATCTATCCCTACTGCAAAGCTATCATGCATACGTATTGCTGGCAAATCATAGGACATCGAAAACAACAAAAGGATAAAAGAAAAAAAAAAAAGAAAAAAAAAAGTAAAGAAATTATAAAAAAAAAAAAAAAAAAAAAAAAAAACCGTGACAAAACTGGTTCCGTTTTTTTAGAAAAACGGCAGTAATCCGTAGCTCATTCAAGGTTAAGCGTACAGGAAGCTACGTCTATCTTTCAATCTATGTTCCTGTTATTCGACTGCGTGCTTAACCAAACAGTAGGCAATATGGGGCTGCAGACGGAGCCTACGCAACCAGTGTTTGAAACCTAGTTTTAAGCTCATCAATTACTTGATTATGGTGTGTTGCTAGTTTACTGCTTACGTGTGTGTTCTACGTGTGTATGCTATCTTGCGTAGCTGATCGGGTACGCAATCCTACGTTTCGAGGGAATTCAGCAGGAGTTAAGTTTATAAACCTAACGGCCGCGAACTATTAACCGTTTAATTAAACATCGGAGAGAGCGCACGCGGCCATTATTTCACCCAACAGCAGCTCAGTACACAGATAGATAGGTCCTGTATATGTAATAAAACGTAGTAGTTATACGTTCAAGCCTTAACCAGTCCTGTCTTGCGTTGTTGATCGGGTGAGCAATCCGTCGATTGAAGGGAGTTTAGCAGGCCTGGGGTCATGGTTAAAAACCAGGCGGGCGTCTTCTTCATGTCGCCTTGTTTATCATCCGATAGAATGTCCATCATTCGTCACAGTGTGTGTACAGGCAAAATCGTATTTTAACCGTATTACTGTATAATTTGTTGTTAGATCCTATGATTCACCGTGTATACCACCACTGTCTTGGGTATTATATTCACTGGTACGGGCATAGTTATATTAGGTAATTCGTATGGGAACGAAGAAAAATACGAGATTGAATAAGTACGGGTATAATTGGTTGGGATTTTCAACGGTCCATTGTATGGCAGAATCATAACGTATCCGTGTGTTTGTTGATAGACCTTATAGTCTTTCGTATGTCCTACTGATGCTACAAAAGTTTATACATACTATATCGTATTAGTCATATTATGCGGAAAAAAGAACGAGATTAAGCAATTATAGGTAAGAGATGCTGAAATTCCTTATGATCCATCACAAGCCAAGGTCCACAGTGTTGCATTCAGAACTACTGCTGATCTAGTTAATCGTCGTAAAAAAGATCTACGTGTGTGTTAAATCGTAAGGGACTAATCACGCGGACGTCATCGTATTTAGGCATATCATCGTATAAATTGGTGCTAGTCCATACGATCCATCTAAAAATGCCGATATTACGGATAGTCATTCGGGCGTAAAAGTCTTAGCCATGTAATCCGGGATTTAAGGAGTCACAAGATTAGGTAAGTATAGGTGTATGTACCAACGTAGAAAAGTTGGAAGCTGAAGTGACCCTTACAAAGGCTTAAAAAACCGTTAAAATAATACAACAGAATATGATTACGGCAGTTAGAATCGGAATTATGTCAGGTTAGAGGCATAGATGTGACGATGATTTTCTTGTTACAACAGGAAGACGTTACTAATCACGATCCTGCGTAATAATCGTCCATAGCATTATACTAACGTAAGAAACCGAAGGCAGAAGTGACCTTTCCACAAGGTTTACCACCGTAAGAAGCCGAAGGTTGGAATGATCATTTCAATAGTTAATGAAACGTTTAAGATAAACCACCACGACAAGATCTCAGCAGAAAKGAGTTTTTCATTTATGAGCACTTTGGGTATGTGCTATAGACAGGGCAATCATTTTTTTCGAGTCTTGTTTCGACGCTTTCTGTCGCGCAGTTTTACTTTTTCTATATACTGTGGTAATAACGTTAATACACTCGGAATTACTTTGTAGGGAGGATATAAACTCAGTACAACATGCAAGATTTTTAAAATTGGAGTCGAAAACTACAATATATATTTTCATAACGTGTCAGCAATACATGGCGGACACATGACTGATCGTTAAAGAATGGTGCMCACGTAGTCATRTGAAATCCGACTTTTAAATTTTCGGTATAACRGATAATCGTTCGTCYGTGATTGTATTAGCCAAATTAACCGGTGTCGGACCAAATACCCTTACAAGGGTATTTGGCCATGSTTTTGCATTCGACATGGTGACGGCGTCGGCTACCATGATGGAGCCAGTCTGGAAACGGAAAGGGTGTGCACGCTTGAGCGTGACACTCGAAACGAATTCCTCGGCCACTGAGGCCGGGAACRAATMGGTGAGAAAATTTCRAAAAGTATACGCGYGCATTGTTATGACGCGCACTGTAATGGTTAGGGTCAGCARTAATACCCTCCGACCAGAAAGGTCGAGGGGTTGATTGAGTTAATGGTGCATCGGGTAKATTTACAACACACGCTGAGGCATGGACGGGTACCGGTCTACKTACCGGTACTGGGCCTCTAAAAATGTCAACTTTGYCTTCTTCTACTCGGCCTCCGAGTCGAGTACCTGACGCATCTACCTCTACTTAGTGAGGTACCGACCTGCMTGCTACTTGAAGGTTTTCCGCYGCYGCGAGCCTCTTTTTCMSCCACTTGAGTGTTTCCTCCGCTGCGATCCTCAATA